CTGACTTTCTGTGCTGCATGAATGGAGGGTTTGTGCTGCCTTCCCCTGCCTGCCTCAGGAAGGTGAGGGCAGTTTGCTGGCTTCGAGATGGCACGGAGCACCAGCCAGGAACGCTGCGACTCTTCCCCACGCCAAGTGAATCAGCTGCAAGGAGGATGGGCGAGCATAGCAAATAAGAAACTCAGCAGGGTACCAGTTTCCCCTCCAGAAGCCTTTTTAAACAGAAAAAAAAAATTTTGGTTTTTTTTTTCCTGGATGGGAGGGAGGAGATCTTTAGTGGCCGTGTGCTTCAGCTCCAGAGTCCCACACATTCAAAACCGCTGCATGGGCTCTCTGTTCTGGGGATTAGTTTCTGGAAACTGGATCCAAAACTTGGACAAAGCTGTTAGTAAAGGATTTTTATGGCTCTAATAAATGAGGCTCCAGATGTTCTGAGGCCCAGGGAGTGGTCGTGCTTGTCTGCTGCTAGTCTGATATGAGAATTGGGAGTGGGGAAGGACAACTAAGGGTTAAAAAAACCCTCAACAAAACAAAAAAACCCCACCAAATCAGCAGAATCACAAGGTAGGCAGGACAATATACAATATGTATACAAACCAGGCTACTGCTATCTCCATAATATACCTTTTTTTTTCCTGTTACAAGCAACAGACAGGCTATTGCACCTGGCTAACCCTTCACGTGTTTGGGATGCAGCGGTAGCAGTAGCTGATGCTGTGTGGATTGCAGGGAGATTCTGGAAGCAGTGAGGAATGACATGAGTTTTGGCTAGGATATCTGGCAAAGGCCCCCGAGATCTTTAATGGTCCTGCCCTTGAGTTTTAAGACTTTGCACAAAGATTTTGTTCCTGCAGCATCAGGGAAAACGCCTCTGAGGTACCGTTCCTACTCTTTGCAGCAACCGCATTGTCCTTGGAGGCTGCCTTTCCAAACACGGCTCAGCCCAACGTTATTTAACATGAAGGTCGCGCCTGGAGGCTCTCTGGATTCCAGTTCACAGGGATAAGGGACAGACCCCATTCACCCTCCCCACCACGAGAGACCAGTGGCACTGGAAACACCCCAGACACCCCAACTCCTGCCTGTCAGCCCCTGCCCGCAGCCCAGGTCCCAGAGCTCTTACTGTTCTGGCAGATCCAGGGGTTCTTCTCCCTGGCTGTGACTTCGCGAGCTTCCGTCTCCTCTTCTTCCTCACCCTCCGAGAGCAGGTCAGAGATCTGCTGCTGCAGCTCGGGACTAATGTTGTTCTCCGCCAGGATGAGTGTCCGTAGGGCTGTGGGGTAATTCTCTACCATGTCCAGCAAGGTCTGGGCAGAGAGCAAGATAAATGGGCTTACAAGCAGCACAGACAGCAGCTAGGCTGAGCAGAAAGAGCTTGAATGCTCTGTCTCCCTGCAAACTCCAACCCTCTTCTTCTTACCTGTGCCTTCCCTTGGCCTTGACCTCCCTTCCCCAGGCTTTCTCAGAACCTGAGGACTTCCCATCTTTCTGTGGGAAGCGCCGAGCCTGGATTTCCTGGCTCTAAAGAGGAAGTGACTGCTCTACGCCCTGTTGCTGCCACGTACCCAGGCTAGTCCCCTCTTACCACTGGGCGCTGGGGCTCCGAGAAGAGAGCCTGTGCTACCAAGCCTTGGCCCCTATCTGTCCACAGAGCTTTAGCTCTGGTCCTCAGTCACAAGTCCAACCCTTTACTTCTTCCAAGAAAACCAAACTACAAATAGAGCCACGTGTTTCTCCCTGCTGACTTGAGCGAGATCCAGGAGCCCCAGATCACAGCTGTGGCTTACAATCTCCTCCTGTGGCCGAAAGCAACGGGCCAGGGGAAAGCAACAGCACCCCTGGGCGCAGGGAGGGAAGGGGGTGCATGTGGACTCGGGGAGGGGGATGGAGGCAGGTATAGCTCCTAGGGCCTCTATAGATGGCCAAGACCTATGCCCTTAAGACATCAGTGATGCTCTAGAGGAACTGTAGGTTCTCATACCTGCGCTGACTGGTTGGTAAGTCCTGTTCCCTCCAAGTCCAGAACTTCGAGGGTTCGACTGGAGGCCACAGCGACAGCGAGCATCCCTGCCACCTGGTCACCTGCGGGAGAAGCAAACCGGGGCTGTCAGCAGTGCCTGCCTTCCCTCATGTAATACCACATGCCCCCATGGGCCTGGGGCTGTCATGGAAACATCCTCTGAGTATTTCTGCCATCAGATAACCTCCAAATTTCAGTTACCTTGGAGGTGGGGGGGGAAAGCTGTCAACTGAGAAAAGGGACAAGGTAAAGGCGCACCATTTTGCCTTTACGGGAGCAGTCACTGATTATCAGGGGGAACACGAAGGAACACACTGAAATTGTTTTTATTCCCCAAGGAACGATATCTTCCCAAATCTCCCTCCTACTCAAGGATATGAGGGCCTTTAACAGTCCCTGTAAGGCATCCCGGATACAGAATAAGGAGCTGAATAACTCAGTCTCAGGGGCAGGTGGGAGCTGGACGGAGGACTCTGCAGCAGCTGGCGGACTGCCTCCCTGGGAAGGGGACAGACTTTTGAGGGTCGACGCAGCAGGACCAGGAGCATTAAAGATTGACGCTGGTAGAGAGACAAGACTCCAGCATGTTTTCCTGGCATTTCCTGGCGAGTGCCAAGATACCGTACAACTGTGACACCTTCTCTTGGAAAAAAAAAACCAACCAAACAAACAGGCTGCTGGCAGGTAACACCCTGGGGCCTTTCCTGCCCAAGAGGAGGTACCCAGTCAGACAGACAGGGCCTGGAGGGAGGCTCTGTTTGCAGGTGTGGTGAGGAGGGGAGTGCCCTGCTGATGCTCGGGGAGGCACGGCCAGGTCTCCTCCTCACCACCTTGCAGCAGAGCTGGAGAGAGTTGGTTTCTATGGCAACGAGTGCCAGGCTCTCCTCCTCCTCCTCCCTGCTCTGCTGGGAAGATGAAGGGGGAAGCGCTGGGACAGGGACGTACCGCATCTGCCAAGCTGGCACTGGCACCCAGGGCTTCGGGAAGAGGGGAGACGTGGAGGGTCAAATGTGACGACAAAGGCGGTGGAGCGGGCAAGGCGCAATCTCCTTTCTGCACCTCCCCGCAGGACACACGGCCACCTCACACAAGCAGAGCAGCAAGGCTGCCTTCCCCTGCAGCCGAAGGCACCTGGCAGGGTCAACTCGCTGCTGGGGATCAGAAAGCACCTACGCGAGAAACTGCCCCATCCTGCTGCTGATGCTCTACCGCCTTTCTAGCGCTTGGTCCCCAGCCACGTGCCGGCACAAACCACACAAATGCTGAGAGGCAGGAGTGCAGCATCCCCTGCTCCTCTTCCCTGGCCCCCCCCAGCTTACCTAGGGGGTTGTAGTCCAGGTTCAGCACGCGGAGCTGGGAGCTGTGAGCCACGGCAATGGCCAGGCGTCCCCAGCCTTTGCTTGTGACGCCTGGGTTGGCGCTCAGCGTCAGCTCTTTGAGGCCTGGAGAAGAGAAAGAAGCCAAACCAGAGCCTTAGGGCCACCAAAGCAGTCTCAGGGGAACTAGTTCAGCTAACCAGCACAGCTTTTGGTCGTGTCACCTGTACTCTGATGGGCTAAAGGGTTTGGTTAGCTCTGACAACTGTCGTCACATATTTCACCGATCAGTGAAACATGTCACTGCCTTCAGCAGTAGACCTTCATTTGCCCATGCTGCGACTGCCCCATTTCTCTGCTCTCCCAGCCTGTGTCCTGCTTACCCTAAATAGCAAACCCAGTGGAAACAAGTAAGGGGTGTGCGAGGTGACTGACCAGGAGAAGGAGGTGGCATGAGGTGACAGGTTGGAGAGAGGCTAACAGGGACAGTAGGCTCTGAAACCTACACCTGAGAGGGCTGGCCAGCAGAGGTAACAGCATCAGTGGCACTGCGAGCACACAGAGGAGAAGGTGCTGGGGAGAGGTGGAAAGCACTTTGAGAGGCTGGAGAGTGGAGTGGTGTTACCTCAGCACATGCCAGCTCTCAGCTTAACAACTGGCCCACTGGCCTCTGACCACCAAAGATCTCCCCCTGCAGAGATCTGAGTCTCGGCACTAAGACTATGACCACGCAACTACACACTTGCAGAGCGCACCCGCCAGCAGTGACAATTCCCAGGCACTGACAGTAAAGCCAAGTGCTGAGGTGGGGGCATGCCATATATTTATCATCTACAGTCATTATCAACACACAAACGCAAACCAAGAAGTTCAAAGTTCAAGCTCTCCCCTTCTCCAGTTTCAAACGTTCCTGTCATGAACCAGAAGCAACCTGTTGGTACCTGAGCTCCAAACTGCCAGAAGGACAGATCAATAGCAGAAAGACCATGCCTGCCTGGGTGAACTGCTCCTCTATTGCTTGGCTTTTCTGCTTTACTTAAGTTGGGGAAAGAAATTCCTCAGCCCAGGCAAACTATAGAGCCTGCCTCCTCCAGGGCTGAGGATTTACTGCTCCATGCATCTGCTCTACGTGAAAGCTCCACCGGTCATTGTGCAGCCCATGGCCCCTGGTGCTTACCGGACTTGGCCCCGTCAGGTGGCAGGAGCCCACAGATAAGGTTGATGCCTTCATCACCCAGCATGCAGTCTCCTAGATCCAGAGCCACCAGCGAGGGGTGGATGGAGAGAGCAGGGTTGAGGAGGGCCAAGCCTGCATCTGTCAGGGGACTCCCATGGAGGCTGTGCAGGTAAAAGGGAAAATTACTATGGAGCCTTCTTCCTTGGGGCTAACTAACCTGATGGGGAGGGAGAAGCAGATGAAATGAGGAAGATGACAAATCCTAACCCCAGGTGGGGAAGAAAACGCTGGGAAGCCTCTGCCGCAAGGGTCAGCT